GACAAATTTATCCGTGCAAAATATCATCCCCGGTTCTTACCTGAGTAAACTTCACGAGATTTCCCCATTTACTACCAGGGATTTCAAGGAATTTACCACAAAATCAAGACATTGGGAAAAAATTCCCCTTCCGAGTGGTGATGGTTCAGCTCGACAAAGTTATCGCGACAAAAAATCTTCAAAGTGTGGATTCCTCGGCTTTGCCGACACAGCATGACTCAACTTCTGAGCGCAACAAAAAAGGCAACCTTGGCCATCTCCTCCTTGCTCAGTGCCTTCTTCACATCACAACGATAATTGAGCACCTGGTGGCTCTTCTGCAGCGCACATTTGTCCACCGCATCGTAATCATCGAACGAAATGAACGCAAACCCACGCGGCTTACCAGTGCTTCGATCGGCAATTATTTCCACCTGCAACGGTACTCACTCAATCATTCATCTCGAAAAGAAAAAAAAAATGTACATAAAATGTCTACAAAATCACAAAAGTCACTCCCCATAATCTTGTTTTTTAAAGCTGTAAACACAGGCAGGCTTTTTTACATACTACTCTTTACATGAATTCTTTTAAATTTCACCCTGATTTTTTTAAAAAAAAATATGCGTCACAACAATCTCACTTTTTTTATTCTCTTTCTCTCATTAGCACCACAGACCTTGGGCGACTTTCGTCCCATCCTTGTTTTTTCCTATTGTATGCACGATTGGTGCGGCCCCTGCCGCCTAGTACCTTTCACTGATTGGGTCGCTGTTCCGGCACCTTCTTGTTTTCTTCACAGGGCCTTTTAGGCTCGAACTGCCTTTTGTTTTTTTTTTAAACTGTCCATATGTTACAAAAGATGCAGGTAAACTTGTCTTGACAAATGCGAAAAAGGAGCTCCTCTTCGTCATTTTCCTGATTCATCAGTTTAATTTCATTACATACCCATTCAGATGAAGTGTTCCGAGTTAGATCTAGCATGAAAGACATTATCGAAGCAATGTACAGCAGCAAGAAGAGATGGGCTAGTCATGTGGCTGGGATGAGAGACAACAGATGGACGAAGCGGATAATGGAATGGTATCCGCGCACGGTTAAGAGAACACTGGGAATGCGACGAGGCTGGTCATGTGGCCGGGATGAGAGACAACAGATGGACGAAGCGGATAATGGAATGGCAGCCGCGCATGGTCACCAGCGAGGTGCAAAGATCCCATAGTGCGCCTGTACGATACCATGTGGTTTCGAAAAGTGCAGTAACGAGTTGAATAGAGAAATAGCCAGTTGCATCGATGGCGTGACAACGATAGTCGATGACATACAGCTGCTGGTGCTGCTGTTGCTGAAGCATTCAACTATGTACTCTTATTCCATCTGCTATGACTGAAGCTGTTGCACCACCATCTAATATTCTCAATCTGCTGTTGTGCTTCATCCTTCACGAAGAAATGCTGAACGTTTGGCATTTTTTGGTCCAAAAAAGTATCTTTTCTATCATCCTTTCCTGTGTTTTTCCATCATCATTCATACGTTTTTCTTTTAACCTTAAAAAGGAAACGACGAGAAATACACCAATTTTTTAACCTTCAGAACTTTGCCGAACTGGCTAAAGTATTCTTCGAACATCTGCTCGGTATGCTCTTCTCGTACGCCCGAAACATACAGACGCTTGGTGGAAACATTTGCCTCACTGTGTGCTGATTGATCGCGGGGCACTGCTCGTTTCGGATCCACCTTCTTCCCATCCAACATATGCGGACGAGCAGCCATTGCGGCATCAACCTGAAAACATACGGTTTCTTTGTCGTAATTTCTGGCCCAATAACCAAATTACAAATCTCGAAACTCCAAAAAATCCCAAAGAATAGCTGTAATGATAAGC